AGGGAAGCATGTGCCCAAAGCATTAGCGCTTGTTTGTTGTGTTGCATGCATAAAATTTAACACGTGAAACTTTCATATCTCTATGAATACCACATTCAATAAATCCATTTTCATCATCAATAAACACATTTTCCTTAATCCTTTTTATCAGCAATAAATACATAGAAACTTTCCAAAATATGGCTTTATTGACCATGGGTGATACACATAGAGGAACCATCAACAACATTGTGGAGTTTGTAAGTTCTTATTTCACAATAATATATATTTTTCATTACCTTAATAATTTTTTGTAAAACAATATTCTTATATATATTTTTCCTTTCCGTAATAATTTTTTTGTTAAGATTCAAAGAGACCTTGTCGTATACATGAATATGTCCCACACGACGAGTTGATAGAACCATATTTACGACTTGCCAGTTTTGATAATCTACTCAACATAGTCTCCTACTCTATTGATTGCAAATTTATCCTCACGTTGGTAGAAAGATGGAGACCCGAGGCACATATATTTTATCTTCCTATCAGTGAATGTACCATCACACTAAAGGATATATATATATATATATATGTGTTGTTGGGTTTATGTATCAATGGTAAGGTTGTTAATGGTCAAGTTGACTAAGACAATGTAATATGCAAGCGTATTTTGGGTGCTATTTTGTTTGAAGAAATGAAAAAGGGCCAAGTTATTAATCTAAAGTACCTTAAAAGCATTATGTAGATATGCTATTAACCGAATATTCAACCGAGAATGAAATAATAATTAAAACTAAGTTTTATATTATGATACTATTTGGTAACTTTTTATTTCCTAAAACTACTGGTAATAATGTAAATATTATGTATTTACCTTTGTTAAGTGACATAACTAAAATAGAAACATATAGTTGGGGTTCAACCGCTTTGTCTCATCTATATAGTTCTTTGTGTAAAAATGCATATAAGGATACTTGTTCGTTTTATTCTTGCGCTTTTTTGCTCCAAGCATGGGGTTGGTCGAAAATGCTGTCACTAGTCCCCGTCAACGAGAACAACTTCACATTCCCCTACGCGACAAATTAAGGTTATAACATTATTTTCTTTTACTTACTTTATACTATAAATGACTATAAATAGTTTATTTTTACTATTTTCAATTTAGGTGGTCCGTTCGAAGGATGAACTATACCAAATGTCCTAAACATACTATAACGGTCTATCGAAATCTTTTGGATCACCTTGAACTAGACGATGTATTACAATTAAACTACTTTATCTCGTTAATTTAGTTTTAATATTAATTATTTACTAATCTAATAATTTATTTTTTCTCTACAATTTATCTAGAGGCCATATCTGAGTCTCGACCATGAGATTAACCCCGAGGATGCTGCAGTTTGGACTGCAAAAACAACGATCATCAAGTCCACTATTGTGGAGATGCACTATAGTGACCGTGTTAAATTGTAGTTTGGTATGCAACAACAAATCCAAGATCCCCCGGCGTGTTTGGGACAATGATATCAACTTAGAGTCGATGTTCAATGGAATTATACCGATTGGAGAGACTTCACTAGGGATGCGTGTCGTACGTGAAAGCTAACGTGCCATAAACGAATCTATCATGCCATACAAATCTAAACCAACACAAAATTATATGAATTAGTATATATCAGTTACAACAACTTAGTTTGTATCTGACCCAAGGTATTTGATCGACCAACGCCTACGAGCTTTGTCATCATACACCTAACAACCAACCCCACAACAAAGCATCCAAACATCACATCGCCAAAGCACTCAACCAACACATGCCTTTCAAACACCACAAAAACCATTGCTTCGTTTCCAAAACGAATCAATGTCCCAATTCAATCAACCAACCCACCCATACGTAACCCAACCAACATGACCCAAATGCGACAACATGTGTACCAAACTCGATTACGACAACACATGTAATTGGAAAGAGATGCTAGATTTCATTGATGACACTAATGTTCTAGGGACCTTGCTCAAAACACCTTAGGTGAGTCCAGGGAGGCACCAAACACTTTAGATAAATTCTTGAAGACAACAACCACCTTTGGATAATCGTGTGCAACCTCAATGGGGAAGGGCATCTCCGAGTTGTGGAACCAATCGATATTATGATCAAGTATGTAGTTAAAATATGTTTACAAAATTTTCCGCCTTGTAATTCTATTTTAATTTAATAATATTAGTATTTTTGCAACTATTTTATTTTTAATTAATTAAAACTTTAGTTAAAAAAATCAATGCATTTATGTGCCTGGATAAGTGACACATGCTCTTAGGAAAACAATAAATGCATTACAAATATTCGCGTATGAGTATTGCATGCGTTACTTTCGCGTAAAATATTTTGATTTTTTTTTTTAAAACACGAGCATTTTAGTGTATAATTTAAAATTATTATTATTATTATTTAAATATTTAATTTAAAAAACATGGTTAACTGAAAAAAATTATAGTAACAAATATACTTAAGTCATTGAATAAAGTTGTTAAGTCATTTTGAAATTAACAATTTTTTTTTTTGAATAATATCAATAATATTAAAAAGTGAAAGGTACAACCAAGACAACAATTTTTCTTTTTTTGTCGAATAGAAAGTGAACAAGTCCTAGCTGTCATCACCACAATATCTTATGATGCTATGTCTTATAGGACTCAATTGAAAATTGAAATGACCTGTATTCTTTTGTTTTTTTCCCTCAAATTTCATATAAACTTTTTAATTATAATAAATGAACACGTTCTCAAAAAGTAAGTTTGCTTTTGAGAACTATGGAAGAACATTCCTAAAACAATATTAATAAATACAAATTAATTATTATTATTATTTTATATATAATACAATTGTCAAAAGTATTTTAATGTTAAAAAAATAAGTGACCTAAGTTTTATTTTGTCCTTATTATCCTATCATGTTTTTTATTGTTTTTTTGTTAAATATTTATTTTGCTGTATAGGATGGTTAGATAACTTAAATTCTTTGATGCGAAAATCTCGATTGATGCTTTACAAATTATTCTTGTTTAAAAAAAAATCACTTTCAATGTATTTTTGTCTACAATTATTTACCGATTATTTTTCTTTACACTTATTTCATAATGTATTTTTAATTTTTTTCTTTTTTACAAATTTGTAGTTAAAGAAAAAACAAATTTCAACCTCACTAAAAATAAAATGATGAATTACAACCTCATTAAAAATAAAAATGACTTAAAAAACAAATAATATGATATACAGAAAAGAATCTAAGAATGTCTTTCGGATTGAATTCAATCACACAACAATCTTAAATTTTTTGAAAAAAAAATAATGTTGTTTTTTTAATTATTTTTTGTTTTATTATAAGAATTTTTTTTTATATTTACTAAATAATTAGTATAGTTAATATTCAATAAATTTAAAAAACTTAAAAAATAAAATAAAAAATTAAATTACAATTTTAATTCTAATATTTTGTTTGATGTATGAAATAATCTCTCTATTTTAAATTCAAATAATTTTAGAGTCGATTTGTTTCAGCTTTAAAAAAATAAACTTTTTTTTTATATTTTCAAAAATAGATTTTACAAAAGTATTTTTTAAAATACTACAAATTTTTTCTATATTCATTCTTTTTAAATTGAAAAATTATTTTTGATATCTTATAACATAAACATACATTATTGAAGATTAAAATATAATCGAGATCGTAATTTTTAAAAAAAATTGTATTTTAAAATGATTTTTATGAAAATCTATTTAAAATAACTTTAAAATTAAGTAATTTTTATAAAAAAAATTGATATCCAAAAAAACTTAAATAAAAATAATGAAATATCTAAAATAACAGTGCAAGAATAATTATTCAAACCAAATTTTCATTTAAATTTTTATAAAAAATTTCTTTATAAATTATTTTACACAAAATTATTATTTAAAAGAAAAACCAAGACAAACAGACCCTTAATCTATTTTTTAATCAATTTAATTTGATTGAAAAATTATATATCTCTTTACAAATATCATAACTTATTGCTCATGGAGATTTGAGCTCAAAATACAAATATTTTTTCAAATTGCATATAAATAGAGCATATTTAATCCCTTAAAAACAAAAATTAATCAAAGTAATCAATATAACTAACAATGCAAGAAAACAAAAACTCACATCTATAACTTTTAATACAAATAACTTTTCCAAATTTAACAAATTATAAATTTCTTCTGTTTTTGACATTTTAATACAATTTATTTTAGCAAGTAAAGAAAAAGAAAAGGCAGCAACCAACTTGACTGTCTAAAATTGAATGCTTTCAAACGTAACGGCTGCAAAGTACACCTGTCCAGCCTACCATTTGCAGCTCACATCTATAAATACTCTTTCACTAATTTTATCACTTCAAAAAATCCCAACACATACATTCTCTTTTCTCTCCAACAAACTTATTTTTTCCTTTTATTTCTTCCTTCATTTTTTTTTACTTATTCAAATTCTCTCATTTTTTCATTTACTCATAAAACACCTTCAATTTTCTTCATCTTCCAGAGAAACCTGAGTCCCACGATCAGGTTTCTTTGGAATACAAAAATAATTTTTAAGGTTTGTTTTTTGTTTTTTCTGATATATTTCATAAATGTGCATATAACTATGTTTTTCGGTTTAATCCGAGCTTCCCCGTTCGAGTCCGATATATACGGTCGTCGGACACCATGAAAATATTGAATTTCTAACTTTTAGATTCATGATTGATTTGAATTGACTTTTATATCTTTATAGGCAAATCATACATTGCATTTATGATTTTCAAAAAAAAACATTAACAATATTTCTGGAGATGATGATTTGCAGAAGTCAAAGAGATTCTATAAATAAATTTGTGCCATAAATAGTTTAACTGCATTTGTGTTATTTTTTTGTAATGATTCTTTTATTAGTAAAATTAATTAAATAGCTTATTAATTAAGGGATTAATTATAAAATTTTCAGGTTTAACGGTATGGAAAATCACGTAACTGTTGAAATTGGAGAACAAGATAGTTTTGAAACTCCGGCACTGATTAAGTTTATATCAACGAATGATGTTGATGGTTTTGATACATTTCACTCTCAATTTCCAAGCCCATCTCACAAAGTAAGAATCACTTTTCAGTGCTTTTGTTGTTGTGACATAGTTTTAAGTGATTATTTTGTTTTAATGTTCCTTACTCTGTTTATGATTCAAAAACGGTGTAGAATAGCTTAACTGTATGTTTGGTCCCAGTGTTAGAAGAGTTTAAAGTGATTATAAAGGGGTAAAATTGATTTTCGATGTTCTGTTCCTCCATAATTAATTCTAATCAGTTAAGTTTGGTTTTACTTCTGAAACACTCAAAATTGATTTACGAAGTCGAATTTAGTTGGTTTCGAGTGGAAATAATTGATTTTGATATATCTAATTGCTTTTGAATAGAATTAATTATGTTTTTTAGAATTGATTCTATTTGAAGCTATAATTTGTAATATTTTAATCTATTTTGTACTAAAGTTTATTTTTCAACTCATTTTTTAATAAATTTATCTAAATATAAATTAGTTTATCTTTGATTCACTTTTAGTTGAAATCAATTTTACAAAATCAATATTCTTTTGCCTCATAATGAATAATATAAATTCAAATTGTTTTAAAATAAGTTATAAGTTGTTTTCATAAGCTGAGAGCTTATGAAAAAAAGCTGAAAACAAATTCTGATAATATCGTTATTGGTTTTCATAGGCTATTTTCGAGAGGTTATGGAAATAAGCTGAAAACAAATTCTGATTTTATAGTTACTTGTTTTCATAAACTCTCTTTAAGCAGTGTCGCAATTGCTTAAATCAGTAGATAAATTCAACTAACTCAATTCAAACAGGTCCTAAAATCAAACTTTTTTCGTGTTTTTTGGATAGGATACCGAAGCATCCTCACCAACAAGCCTACAAGATGAACCATTGGTCAACAATCATCAAAGAAAAGCATCTGTTTCTTTAAGCATGCCACTTTCTTCTGAAGAAGTTCTACTTCAAAATGAGATTAACCACCAGAAAGTTTTCTTCAGTGGAGAAACTGTTATCATCAAAGATAAAAAACCATCGAGAACCGCGGGTTCTCTCCCTCCGAAAAACCCGAAATGTTACTCTCAACCGATGCAGAAAGGCATGAATCGCCCAGACGGTTCTCAAACTCAAAAGGGTAATAGTAATCATCATAATCAACCAGCTGGAATCAAAATGTTTAGAGATAAGAGATTCGACTCGTTTAAAACATGGTCTGGTGGACTCGAGAGACAGTTAACGATTCTGCGCGGTAAAGAACCTAGCGGAAGTGCACATGACGGTAACAACTCTACAAGAAGCCTTGATAGGGCTTTACCCGTTGATAGGTATTTCGATGCATTGGAAGGTCCCGAATTAGAAACTCTTAAGGTAAATAATTTGATTAGCTTTAAAATCTTCGTGTATTCAACTCAACAACTTCGATCCTCTTCTGTGTCTAGCTAATCAAATCTCAGCTGTTGGATTAGTCTACCTGCTGAAAGACATGATCTTTTAGCCGTGAGATTTCGTTGGCGAGACAGAATGAACTGGTGAGGATCCAAATTTGAACATTGAAGATTGTAACATCTTTTGTTTTTCCTTTTCCAACAGTCATCAGAAGAGATAATGCTTCCTCAAGACAGACGATGGCCGTTTCTTCTCCGGTTCCCCATTTCATCGTTCGGTATATGCCTCGGAGTTAGCAGTCAAGCAATTCTCTGGAAAACAATAGCCACATCACCTGCAACTGAATTCCTCCACATAACTCCCATGATAAACCTAATCTTATGGTGCATATCCACGTTACTTGTCGCATCCGTTTTCACGGTCTACATTCTCAAACTCATCCTCTACTTCGAAGCAGTTCGTCGCGAATACTACCATCCGATCCGTATCAACTTCTTCTTCGCACCATGGATAGCTCTCTTGTTTTTAGCCCTCGGCGTTCCTCCGTCCGTGGCCAAAAACCTGCCTCATTCTCTTTGGTACATTCTAATGGTACCGATATTTTTCCTCGAGCTAAAGATTTACGGACAGTGGATGTCTGGCGGACAAAGGAGGCTCTCGAAAGTGGCGAACCCTTCGAATCATTTATCAATTGTTGGAAACTTTGTTGGAGCGTTGCTCGGTGCATCGATGGGACTAGTTGAAGGACCGCTTTTCTTCTTCGCCATTGGACTTGCTCATTACATTGTGTTATTTGTGACACTTTATCAAAGACTTCCAACTAATGAGACACTGCCTAAAGAACTTCACCCAGTGTTCTTTCTGTTTGTTGCAGCACCTAGTGTTGCTTCAATGGCTTGGGCTAAGTTGCAAGGTTCTTTCGATTATGGATCAAGGATCGCGTATTTCATTGCTCTCTTCCTTTATTTCTCATTGGTAAGTTTTACCGTCACACTTTTCTTTCAAATATTCATAATAAATTATCGATGAGTAAATCCCGAGTTTAGTCATTGAAATACTAATATGATCTTGTAAATATTTTATCGCGTTAGTTTCTATGACGGGTCTTAAGACTAAATTGACAATTCATTATTGTCCCGTAAAACCAGCTTTGTTGGTAGCTGACATCCGACTGCAAGGGCACGGATTCAAACCCGCGACATCCAACCACATGCTACCTGACAATTTTTTTTCTTCATTATTTGTCAAATTTACTCACTAGTTTCATATGAATTTACAGGCTGTCAGGATCAATTTCTTCAGAGGATTCAAGTAAGTTACATTACATCAAATCTCCAATATATCTTATATTGCTTTCTTAATTTCTCTATAGTATTGAATTTTCTTTCAAAAATTAATTTTTGATGTTATTTTTGACAGATTCTCTCTTGCATGGTGGGCCTATACTTTTCCAATGACTGGTGCAGCAATTGCAACCATAAGATACTCAAATGAAGTACCGAACATTGTTACTAAATCATTGTGTGTTGCATTGGCTCTCGTCTCAACATTCACTGTCATGGCACTTCTTCTATCAACAATATTGCATGCATTTTTGTTTAGGGATCTTTTCCCTAATGACATTGCTATTGCCATAAGTGATAGAAAGAGAAAGACTCATAAGAGTTGGTTAGGTTTTAGATATGGAAGCCAAGATGGTAAAGAGATTGAAACTTACTTGAAGTTTGTCAACACTGATGATAGTAGTGTGGATGGTTCCACCCAGCAACCGTCCTCCGGTTGCATGGATCAGATTTCGCTTAAATAAAGATAAGGATATTTGAGTGCAGGGTTTCAAAAAGAGTCCGTGACAATCTAAGCTAAGACGTTAAAATTATTGATGTTTGTGATGGCCTTATTTGAAAGGGACTGACATCGATGTTTTTGATGTCTCTTAATTTGATGATATTAAGGATCGTGATGCGACTGCCGCCGTTATTACTATGTAAAAACTTGTTTGTTGGTATGGAATAATGGTGTTTTATATGACAAGAAAAATTATGAGTGATGTAATAATGTTTTATATAGGGAAGCATATGTGAGGAACAAAAGTGGGTTTGATTGTTCCAATGATCATGTGATTTAGTATGTTAAATATGGTGTGTGTAGGATGATTAGATTTTTGTAGAAATAGTTTCCACCTCCTATGAAAAATAAGTGAGGTGTTAATTATATGTTATTACAAGTGAAAAGATGGTTAAACAATTTTTAATTAGCTCATAGAATATTTCCTTTAGGTTTGGATTGATGCATGAAATATGATGGAATAGAACGGTATGCTATGATGTTTTATTGTTTGGGCTAATTAAAATCAGATATAATGGAACAAAATGAAGCGATATGAATTTCTTTTCATCACATACTTTTATATTTCTTCTTTAATTTGGGTGGAATGAAAATTTGTCTTGTTTCATCCTAAAATATATAATCAATGGAATAAAATATTGATTATGCTCTATTTCATTTCACTCTGCTTCTTTCCATTCTACTCCATATATTTCATGATATCCAAACATGACATTGTCGTTTTTTATATTTTGAAAAAATAAAGTCGCTTTATAGTAAAATTAGCAAAATGATTTTTTTTTTTTTGAAAAAATCATAATTCTGACCGGTCTGAATTATGTCCTAACCCCTTCAATTGTAACGTAGGATTATATAATGCATCTAAATTTACATATAATCTTATATTTATTAATATTGTAATTAAGTCTCTAATATTTTTAATTTTTGAAAATCAAAATTAATAAAACAATTTTTTGATACTTCATTAATTTCATCTTCTTTCCTCAACCAACTTCATCTTCGTCAACTTCTTCTTTACCCAACCAACAATAATTTCGTCTTCTTTACCCCAACTTATATAATCATCTACATACATCCTGTTGAACTACCTTCATTCATCTTCTTCTGCCGCAATTGTAAAACATGTTTCATCTTATCCTTTTGCAATTGTAAAAAGAGTATTCTTCCCAACACTGTTCAACGAGTGAACTTCAATATTCTCCCATACAATCGCTCCTCACACAGTACGTATTCATAGCATATTTGCTAAGGTATTTGGGTTTAACATTTAATCATTTCAATTTCTTATATGATTTCAATTTGGGAATTAAGTTTTATGATCAATGTTGTAATCGGTAATTGGATTTCAAATTTAAGGACTCCGATTTTCAATTTTGGTAGCTGTTCATTACTTTGGATAAAATTTATTTCATTTTGGAAATTAGGTTTTTTCATTGATGTTGTAATCAGTAATTGGATTACAAACTTAAGGGCACTGATTTTCAATTTGTTAGTTGTTCATTATTTAGGATAAAATTTATTTCAATTTGAGAATTAAGTTTTATGAGTGTTGTCATTGCCTTTATTTGGATTTTTTAGTTACTCAATATGTTGGTTAAGATTTCATTTCAATTTGAGAATTAGGTTTTATGATTGATGTTGACTTATGTTGTGTTGTATATTGGCCTATTTAAGATGGACAACTCCATCAATTTTGTTGGGGTTGATTTGAACAATGTTCATTACACTGATTCAACTAATGTTGAATATAGTTGTGATGAAAATGTTAATGATGTTTTATCTAGTGGACATCAAACTTAAAATGATGAAGATGATTATGATAATGACGATGATGAGGAATTGGTTCGAGCAGAGTGCCGAAATAGCCAAGCATTGTAGGTGATAGATTGATGAGTAGTGATTCCATTACTTCAGATGAAATTCGTGCCATGGAGTTTGGAACTGTGAGTGAAGCTTATGACTTTTATTATAAGTATGGAAAATGTAAAGTTTTTTCCATTAGAAAAAGCGATGTTAGGAGAAGAGGGCCCGAAGGTAGTGAAATAGTAGTAATGAGACAATATGTATGCAACAAACATGGATTAATATACAAGAAGCACTTAGCTAGGGTAGATAGGAAAAAAGATCATCGACGTCTGACTCCTACTAGATGCGTAACTAGGCTCTGTGTGCATTATAAAGCCAAAAAAGGTAAATATGTAGTGTCAATTTTCGAAGAGGCTCATAACCATGAATTAACCTCATCAAACTTTGTACATTTACAACTCATTTATTGTCAAATATCTGAAGCAGATAGAGCTTAAATTGATGGTCTACAGTCACATGGAATCAGAACCTGTCATATAATAGGATACATGGTTGCTCAAAAGGGTGGATATAATGATGTTAGTTTTACAAAGAAAGATTTGTACAATTATTCTGATAAAAAATGTGTGCTGCTATTAAAGATGGTGATGTTGCTACTGCTTTAAATTTTCTCAACGTGAAATCCTCAGTGGATCCTATGTTGTATGCAGAATATTGTGTCAAAAATGATGGAAGATTGAAATCACTTTTTTGGGCAGACGACACTAGTAGATCAAACTATTTCTGTTTTGGCGATGTTGTTGCATTTGACACAACTTGCAAGAAGGACAAATATAATTATCTGTTGGTTATATTTTCTAGGTGTAACCACCATTCACAGATTGTTATATTTGATGTTGCGTTGGTTTCAGATGAAACGATAGAGACATATAAGTGGTTGTTGAGATGTTTTTTAAAGTGCATGGAAAATAAATATCAAAAAACAGTGGTAATAGATGGAGATGAGGCTTTTAGAGAGTCTATAGAATACATTTTTTCTAATGCGACCCATCGGTTGTGTGCTTGGCATTTGAACAAGAATGTAGGTGAAAATGTAAAAAAGTCACCATTTTTGGATGGTTTTAAAAGAGCAATATACTCAAATTTTACACCTGAGCAATTTGAAGAATTTTGATCAGAGTTAGTTAAGGAGAATGAACTTGAAGAAAATACCTGGGTTGCAAAAACATATGAGAAAAAGTCACTTTGGGCAACTGCATATCTACGCAATAAGTTTTTTGGTCGTATAAGAACTACGTCTCAATGTAAAATTATCAATGCAATAATCAAGACTTATGTAAGGAAGAAAGGGTACATTTTTTAATTTATGCATAATTTTGAACAGGCTTTGAGAGACTATAGAAATAATGAACTTATTTCTAATTTTAAATCAAAGTTTTTCAGATCCTGTGTTGACAACTCAACTACGTCAGATTGAGAGCGATGCTGCTAAAATTTATACAACATGGATTTTTAAAGAAGTAAAACAAGAAATTACGAAGGTTGTTGCATTAATTGTGAATGAACGATTATCAGAAGGGGAAACGACATGTTTTACATTGATAAAATAGTGTGAGGCTGGTTTTGAAAGAGAAGTTGTATATGATGCTTTAGGTAAAACATTACGGTGTTCGTGTAGATTATTTGATTCTCGCGGACTTCCATGTTCACACATTTTTTATGTCATGAAAGAAGAGCATATGGATCACATTCATAGCAGCTTGGTATTGTTGCGTTGGACGAAAGATGCCAAAATTGGGTTTCTGAACATGAATTCTAATGAAGTAGATTCGAATCTGATTGAGCTCGCTCGTTTTGGTCCTTATTGTTCTATTTTTACAACTTTTTGCAAAGAAGCCTAAAATAAGAATGGTGTTTATGGGGATATAATGGATGACATAATGAATCTATAAAGAAAGTATTGTAATTATGACAAACCTATTGTGACCCAAAAGTCATTTGTAGGTCATCCAATAACAGTGAAGAGAAAAGGTGCTCCAAAGAAAAAAAGAATGAAACCAAAACAATCAGACACTACAAAAACTGCAATAGTACAACTCATGATGCAAGGAATTGTTCGATAATACATACCTTCTTTGTGATCAGACTCTTATTCTTAGTATATATTTTACAATGAATAGTATTTTCTATTTATTTTGGTATATTTTTCTAGGACACACAAGACGGGACATTTGAACCGAATATTGTGTTGGAGTCAATGTCATTAAATGATTCTTTAAGCCAAATACAAAAGGCATATTCAATTTTATTAATTACTATTATATTTACATTTGTTTTGATATATTTATTGAATTTATATATACAGAAAAATAAAAGGAAATCCAGCTGCAATGTTGGTAGTAGCAGGCCAAAAAAATTTCACAAACACCACAAAGTCAATGTGGTAACATTACAACTACGCCACATATGGATGTTACAAGCAGACATGTGAGTTCAATGTTTGGACTTCAACCTATGATGTATGTTGGACAACCTGAAATTCATTAAATGCCAGCGGAAAACCCACGTACCCAATGTATAGAATGTCGGTTGGAGAAAATTCTTTGTGCTTCAGTCTGCTGCAACATATGATGAAATTTGGTGGTGATTAATGTGGTTTTTTGTACGGTGATCCTGCTGCACCTTAGATTGTTGTGGTTTGTAATGTGATTTTTATATGGTTAAAGTTGAACTGTATGGTGTGTTGCATCTTAGATTGTTGGGATGTAATATGATTTTTATATGGTTAAAGTTGAACTGTGTTTTATTTTTTAGATTTTCATAATGTTAAAGCACCGATTAAACTACCAAGTGTTCATCTTCATATGTATGTATAATCCAATAATAATCATTCTTACTAGGTTTGTGAAAAAAAATTGATAGTGGGCTGTAGCATATAAAATAGATCTAATCGGGCCCATGAATGTCAATTTTGAGTGTATATTTTGGCTTTGGGATGTAATGTGATTTTTTGATACATTCACATAGCGAAACAATTAATAACCTTTGGATCTTAATCAAACGGTCTAAAAAAAGTGCTAAATTTTATACAATTATAAAATAAAACTAGTAAGAGACTCTTGCGTTCGCACGGGTCGAGCAAAGTCAACAAAATAT